AATATTTTCTAACATACAGAATAGTGATCATAGTAATAGAGTTGTCATTAGGGTCTGACCTTGAGAATAAACAGGAGTGAGTGTGTTTCGAGATCATTCTGGATGAAGACAATCCCCAAAGGCCACGCATCTCTGGAGGTTCAACTCCACAAGCCAATCCACAGACACACAGTCCACGTCCAGGCCGTTCGTACCTCTGAAGCCCACTGGTAGGTCAGTGAGGAATTGAGCTGAGTTTTGAGTCTGGATGAAGAAAAGCAAAACCTGGCGACAGAAGGAAGCTTCTTCAGATGATGCCCCAATTTGGAGACTAAAGTGCACCTGATTTAGCCCATGGTCTCCTCAGTCACTTGCTATGCATCTGAAAGTTTCACGGTGACTAAGGCTAACAAAAGACGAATTGGGGCAGCCAGCATGGAGGAGGGGCTCAGAGGAGAATCCTGAGCTCACGGGGTGCACTCGGATGCCAGGGTATAGCTCTGGAGAGGCTGATCCCCAACAAAGTGGAGCAGGGGAAACTTATGGTTTCTGACCAGCTGTCCCGCATTTCAGGGACTAGGTAGTCAGAGGAGACCCAGCAAACCCCGCATGAACAAGCAGGTCTTTCATTTCCCTAAGTGAGGACGCCTGTGGGCATGGGTGTGCCATCTCCCAATGGCTGGACAATTAATAGGATTTCAGCTGATGTTCAGTTCAGAAGACGAATCAGGACTTGTGGCCTGCGTCCAGGTATCTGTCCTGAGGAAGAGTAGCTGAAGTACAGGAGAGAATTCTTTGGTAAACAGCCTGAGTGACGAGAAGGGAGACTTCCTGGCTTTGATTTAGCTTTAGACTGGGAATTCTTCTGGAATGTCGACCCTTAGCCTGTCCCTGACATTGTTAGGGATAAACCATTACCACGCACAGACTATAAGGCAAAGCTTGGCCATCTAGAATTCCAAGGAGCAGAGAACTAAATCTTCAGAGCAAACGGCTCGAGTATATCAGAGAAGCTAAGGCTGGTCCGGGACAGAGAAAGGTTAGATCCGTTGTTCACAGGGTGAGTTGTCCTAGACTTGCCAGCACCTAACAAAAACAGACTTAATGCTTTGGTGAGAACAATTCCATGTTCATTGTTAGTGTCTTCTTGAAAGTCTGTATAAATTACTTAAATTAAATCAACTCCTCAATGACTTTGGACTTCACCTCATTGCAATTGAGGTAATGGCTTCATCACTTGGCAAAAGTGTAAAATTCTTCCCTAAGCATTCAACAAAAGATAATTTTGGCCTAGGACATCATCTGATCTTTAGCAATTTACATCACTTTTAACTTAATTATATCCATGATAGGCTATAGACTTCAGTTTACAATCAAAAATATTTTTACCTTTGTAATCCATAAAGCCCGCTTCTTCATCTACTTATGCATACTATATTCAGCTTATGTCATGGCCACTTTAAATGGTTAATAAATGATTCTTTGCAATTGCTTGTTATGCATCAGAGAGTTGGACAATGACTAGAGAGGACAGAAGGAGAGTTGATGCCTTTGAGCTGTGGTGCTGGAGAAGAGTACTGAATGTACCATGGACTGCCAAGAAAACAAACATTCATCCTGGAGAG